ACATCTATCTGTTCTGCTATCTCTGTGTTCATTACCTTCCATTAGACCAACAGATTGATTTTGCACAACAAATCAAATAAATAAATGTGGCCATAGCACGTTTATTTGAGCCCCATCGATTCAATAAACATTAGCCAACCCCAAACAAAACTCTCAAAACTTAATGCAAATATGCTGAATATGGTATGCACACGTTCCTGAACATATAAATCCACGTAAACCAATTTTAGTTGATCAAATAAGGGAAATTTGGTTTAGGTCAAGCCAATTTATAAGCTTATAAGATTGTGTTGAGATAAAAAATAATATTAACTTATGAGAATTGATGAAGGACACGATGTGTTATCTTATGAAAACTTACTCTATGTCATTCGGTTATTAAAAACTTTTCCGATGAGAATCAAATTAAACATTTTCTTCTAAAGCTTAATTTAAATTGTTTTAATTTATCTAATAAAACTGTCGTATATATTTAGAATATATCTGTAAATAATTGAATAAATTATGGGATAAACTATCTGTTTTACGAATAAATAAAACGTTGACACCTTAACTTATCGAATTTTCTTCTTGGGGGAAAAAGGTTTATGTATAGGGAAATTTGTTACAAATATCTAAACTACCCTTGTTTCGCAAAAAGTAGTCTCCTTGGGATTGTAAAAACATTCTCCCTTATTGTATAAGAATCCTTACATAAAATTCCATCCTTAAGAATTAGAATAAGAATAAGAATCCTTGAATAATATATTAATAATTATTTTGCCTCAAAATAGTACAAGATGGTTCTTATAAAAACCACCGTAAAACCCACAATATGTCCACTTAAAAAGTTCAAGTTTAAGATCTCGTTTATAAGAAAGATAAAACATATTTTATATATTCATAAAGGTTACCCCTTGGAAAGAAGTAAAAAAGGTATATAATAAAGTTTTTAGTCTTTTAACATTATACTATATTATTCCCCGAGCAATCTTTCAGCTTATGCGAGCAACATTTCGTATGCCTAACGGCAGTTAAGCCCAACTTAGTAAGTATCGGGTCTTTGCGTTGGATATCGTGGCTTGGTCTTGGGTGCCCACTGCGACACTGTTCGGGCAGATAAATTATGAGGCGCGGCGGGTGGTTTATCTGTGGCAGTAGCATAGATAGCAGTGAAAAGATAGCTGCCCCCGGCAGTCAGTCGCACACAGCACAGCAGCTCATGAATTGGCTCTAAATTAATTATTTACGCATTTGAATTGAGGCAGTGTGTTGAGAACTGATTTCGAAATGGCCGGCAGACAGGCGGCTTGCCGCGTGCCGCATTACGAGCGCGGAGCGCGCTACCCGCCTCATGCTGCCGCTCTTAATTTACCAATCAAAAACTCGTAATTAACCTAATAAGCCTTCGAGACGGGCTGCGTGTCCCGTCGCGTGCCCCACGCTGCCGTCGACGCATTGTTGAGCGCGGCAAAGACCCCGTCATAATTGACGCCTGGCCGCGCGAGTTAAATGGATTATGTGACGCAACTCACTTCGTAACAAATAATGGCGCCCAACGTGCCCCAAATTGATCAAAAGAACGCAGTGCATAGGGGCAACGATCATGTACTTAAGCTCTTATATACCACATATGTATATAATAGAGCGTAAGGCCTAGGAAGATGACATTTTTACAGAAGCTGCTCTTGGGATTGCATGAAAAACATCAAGAACTTGGCGCTTGCTTAATGTAGAAGAGGTAGGTCTCTGATTCTAATCCAGAAGCATTTGTAGCTATCGCATATTACGTAAACAATTTCGTTACAACTCGCATTTCCAATACTATTAATTTGACCCGGACTATTTAGGACTATTTTTAGCCATTTCTAAACGCTGACTATGTTGACAAATCGGTTTTGCGCATACACATGCATATATATTTCGATATACATGCGTACATGTGTACATGCGCATGTGGCAAGGCATGTCAATATTTCCCGCTCATTACTTCCGGTCATTGTTTAATTTATGGCACGGCACATTTAAGCCATTGTTGTGCTTATTTATATTATGCCTACTCGCTCATTACATTTTAGCACTAAACGCAAAAACAGATTTTCACACAATAACCACAGTGCCAACCACTAAATCCCTAGCTAAACAGCCCTAAAACAAACACTCGTACGCATGGCAACGACTGTCGCTTCGACAATATTTGCTTAGGACGCGACGAGCCTTTCGACATTCTCCGCATGCGCAACCCCAGGCAGAGTGAAAAGTTACTGCTAATACCATTACCATGGGATCACAATTACAGGTCAAACTGATGCGCAGGCCAACCAAATGGAAGATTCTGCCGGTTGCCGAGCAACTCAAAAGATGACAATTTGTGTGACATTAGGTAAGAAAGTTGGCATATTTTTTTTTACTAAAAAACAATTTATTTTTATTTAAGCCCGAACTATCAATGAATATCCAATTTGACATTCGGGTTTCTTAGCATAATTCGACGACTATGAGTGCTTTTTACTCAAAACTTGCTATTTAAGTTCTTCTGTATATAGTATATAGGGACTAATTATTTTTAAATTGTTTATAACTTTCCCCGGTTCCCCAAAGAAGGCAGGTTTGATGCTAGGGCCATGCGCTATGGTATAAACACACTTTTGTATGACATATTTAAGCCCTGAGCATTTCATAAAGATCGCGAAATAAATACCGAAGTTAATCAAGAATGCATTTCCCCATAGTATGGAGAAGATGCACAGCCTTAGCCTAATTTTTCGTTTAAAACGAGCTTAGCGCTGGGTTCAAAGTATATCCTAGTCGGGCACTGCCGAAGAGAGCACTTTTAATTGTTTACATTGCCAAATGTTTTCAAAAGTTACTAAAATATAAAAACAAATTATATTGATTGCGGATTTCGAAGAGTTGAGAGCTTCTACATACTATATTTATAGAAATAAGTAATTTAAGCAATCTATGCATGCTATAGAATAAAATATAATGCACGTTTGCAGTTCGCAGAAGAAGTATACATACAAAATATACAATATATATGTTTGTAGACAGATATATGTGTGTGTGTATATAACCGAGGAAAAAGGAAATGTGCGCATCGTTTCGAATTGTAAGCAATTTCAACGTCCGATGGGAAAGGAAAACCGTTGACAATATTGCAATGGCTGGCAGAAGAATAATAATTCGGCGTGCGGAAAAATCCGTGACATCATAAATTATCAATAATCACACTTTGTTTTGACAGGATGACGACTGTCGCATCTGAACCGCATTGTTGTCTCTATTGACATAGCGCGCACACATACCGACTCGCCTGCTAACACATATGTGTCTGTGCCTGAGTGTGTGTCTGTGTGTATGTGTGTGTACACACATATGCCAGGGACGTAAGCGGTAGAGCTATTGAATCCTCATTGTGACCAGCAATGACGCGGACTAATACTACTCCGAGCAGCACGTAGTTGCATGGGGGGCGCGCCACACATAGAGATAAATAAATGACAGGATGCGAATGACGCGGTCCTGGAATCCAGTTGATTTTCGCTTTATGCCGTGTAGTTATGCCAGTTGGCCAGTCGAATCCCCAGCCCGAATCCCAGTCCGAGCCCTATCCCTCGCAGGCGACAAATGACACAGTCTGGGGTTGGAGCCGCCGGACTCGCTTGTAACTGCCAAACAATTTATCGACGAGGAAAGCACATTGTTTTACTATTATTTTATTTATTTTCCTGCAGTCAAGTTGCCAAAAACGAGGATGGTTTATGAAATTACTTAGTCAAACGTTCATGGAGAGCTAGAGATTCCAGTTACGTATGTGCATATATATTAGATATAATTGATTGAATATTTAATAATTATTTCGACATAGCATCTGTAAGCATACAAATGGATTTCGATTTATTCCTTATACTTTCACTATAAATTAAAGTATTGAAAAGTATTTAACCTTAGTCATACCACTGAGTTTGGGGAGTGGCCAGTTGTACCACCTGATTTACCTAATTTATTACTTTATAGCTCGAACAAAACTAATCGGGACTTGATCTCAATATAATAGCATAATGTGTAGCACAGTAAATCGTTAAATTGTAGGGCACAAAACAAGGTCGGTCTTATCCGTAGATTAACTGTCAATTAGTGCCATATATAGTCAACAAAAAGAGAATAAAATTGTTTCATAATATTTATAATTAAAATAATTTTTGAAGCTCCACAAAACTGTGTGCGCATGATTATAATTTGAATATTTATCGGGCGGACATAAATCGAAATCGGTACTAAACATTAAACATGGCATTTAATGGCATCACGTGTGTGTGCATGTGTTTTGTATTGAATCTACAATATTAATAACATTGATAAAACTCGACTGAAAACGTTCGACCTCATTTGTATCAACCTTTCGCCGGGCAATTAACAACAGCAGCAGCAGCAGCAGCATATACAGCTATGGCCGGGGAGTACGACAAAAACTCAGATACGGATGCAAACGACCAGAGGCACACATCGACCTACAGCAACAACAACAAAAGGCAACCACAACAACCGAGTGAGTAGCAACAAAAAGCTTTTTAGTCAGCGATAACACTTATGTATGGGTATTGTAGACGTATTATTAAATGCCATGTTTTGTTAACGGCCGAAACCGTTCCCAAAATTGTCAACCCACACACAAACGCACTGAAAGCGACAACATTTGTATCTGTTGTCGGTGTCGATGTCGATGTCGGAGCTGCTGTTGTTTGGAGCTCTAATTTGAGACACGATTTTGTTAATGTGTTTTGTGTGCAGCTCGCTCCAACCAAAATCAAAACGCTGATGATGAACTGTGAATAGTTCCAACTCCCGAGCTGTGTCCCGATTTAAAATGTCATTTTAAATTAACTGAATAAAATGCGCTTGATAATGGGTATTTAGATAAAGTCCTTTTTAGGTATATGAAATTCATGTCTCAATAGTCTTAAGATAACTTATATCAACAAATATATGTATAAATAAATGTGTAAATATGCACTTACCCGAAAACTTATATTCATACGAAGGATTAGCTTATTGTCATTTATTAGTAGAGGGCGCAGCCTTCTATATACACACATCACTGAAAAAATAAGTAGAGAGTTAGTAAGAATAAGAGCAGGAGAAAGGAATAAAATGAGAGAGAAACGTAAAAAGAGAGAGAGCGAGAGAGAGAGAGAGAGAGAGAGGGAGAGAGAGGGAGAGAGAGAGAGAGAGAGAGATAGAGGGACAGAGAAAAAGAAGAGCAGATATAAAGTGAATTAGTTTGACACCAAAACTTTTAAATATAATAATATTGATATATATTTCATGAGAATTTATAAGACGAACTTAAATTCATGAGAATCGCAGAGTAGGGTGCTGTTCAATAGAACTAAGCTAATCCAAAGAGCGATCCAAATATATTTTAAGCTTGAGGCAAATGGGAAAATAGATTGCATTTAATAAATTTCGCGGGTAGTCTCTTAATTTGTATAGGATTGTAGAAGAGTATTGCATAGTCGTTTACATTCGACTGCAACATGCTCACTTGTTTTTAATTTACATTATTTTGAGTAAAAGCTGCATTAGGATCGATTCTAATTAATAGGTTCACGTGGTTTTCAACGTATTCTAACTTCTTCATTAATTCATTTCATCCAGTGGAATGCTGCATGAACTATTGAGTATGGATATTATCGCTGAGGGCGTGAGGTTAGAGCGGCCCAGACAAAACGCTTCAAGTGAGGTGAAGTTGTAATTGAACTACTGGAAACGGCTTCTAACTTTTCAAAGAAAACATCGTTAGAGCCAGGGGCAACAGAGGGCAACCGGGGGGCATCAGCTCACCAGCTCACCAGCTCACCAGCTCGCCCGCTTTCCTGCTTAACTGAATGACGATGACTGAACTGGGGCGCAGAAAGTGACTTGTCATTAAACATGAAACTCTTGCAGCGTCAGTTCTCATAATTGTGTTGAGTGCCAGTCGTTGTTGTTGACTCTTAATGTTGTTTTCTTTGCATGCTGATTAGTTGAGCTCGGGGAATGTCCCTGTCTGTCTCACAGTCCCGCCGTACCGCCGTCCCCTACCCCACCCCCACTTGCTATTGAAATTGTCAGTCGCGGGCCCGATTGCAGAATGAATATCGTTATACATTCATATGTAGAAGAATATGAAGAGGCCAAACCAGACCATGACTACTCTTACTCCAATGCAGTCAACATCTTTCTACTCACAGATGAATGTACATACACACATACATAAATACACTTACACACAGACAAACACACACATACAGAGCACTTTGGCTGCTCGCGAGCGAGTGTTTTGATTAATGATGATACATGAAATTAATTTCAATTCCTACTCGGAGGCGATTGTTTGCGTTTGAAATGAAAGCCTTTTCACACCGCTTCAGATACGACCTCGACTCCAGATTCATATATTGAAAAATGTTACTAGGCTTCTTATTAATACTTCTTTTGACTGCATTGATTCGTTAACAAAATCTGAATTCAACTCTGTCTTTTTAACCATTCCTTAAAAAGCAATCGTGCATAATGTCATTAGCGCTGCATCATCCTCCTTCCAAGCACTCAAAGCTGTTGAATAAATCCCGCAGAATGGCTTTGTTGTGCTTACATTAGCCTCCGTAATGAGCTGATTTTGATTCGAGAATTCCACTTTATGCACAATGTCGTTATGATCATTATGATCATGCTTAGACTGGCAGAGTCATCCGTCCGATTTGTTAGCCCCTGCACACACACACACTCTATGAGGATCACTTGTATGGAGGCTTGAAAAACCTGCACATCTTGTTCGGAATCTTTGGGGATATTTTATCCAATTTGAATCTAAAGAGAAAAGATTTTTCAACTACCATTTTCCAACGAAGCAGATGTGAATTATGCAAAATGCGTGCAACATTTCTCAAATGAATTTTTACAAATATTTTAGTAGAATGTGTTTGATCATTTTTCACGATTTTCTACAATTGCGGGTGGAACTTTTTAAAACCAAATCATATTATGTTACTGCACTTAAATATCAGCTTCTTCATTTAAGGTTTGGTCTGCCAGTCAGGAAAAGTTGTATCGATCGAGTATATACCCATTATGAGGGATATACCCATTAAAGGGTCACGGAATAAAAGAAACGGAAGGACTTGCGTTTGTACATTTACATTATAAAGCTTGTAATGAATTGATGAGTGTGAATATATCTCTGTGAGATAAACTGATAAGGAGAAACAAGATTTTACTGCTCTTTTCAATCAGATACTTGTTAATGGCGTGTCTGCGGTGGGTAATGTTCTTGATAAAGCACGGAATTTATGCTAAACCTGTAGCGGGCTGCTACTTGCTAACATATGTATGTATATGTGAGTGCGAGTGTGTGTGACTTCCAGATATAAACAACTGTCCGTGAGTATATAACACAAATTAAAAATGTTAACGTTTTTACAAGTTAACATTGAAAATCGTTTAGCGGCAATTACCATCAAATGTTGGCAACTCTTTGATGTTTACCGATGTTTGGACGCCAGTAATCCCAACTTGGCCTAAACATTTCAAGCATTCCTTTGGCCGTGCCGCAACTAGTGCCCTGTCGCCGGCGTTTGTGGCAGGCGACTCTGACTCTGACTCCGACTCCGGCCGGCTCCGGCTCAGGCTGTCGGCCACTAGATGGGCCATGCGCATGCGCACGCGCACTAAATAAACCAGCGGCATCTGTTTTGCAAGCCGGCATCGTCAACGGCAACGGCAACGACACGGCCCAGCTCTTGTGTCGCCAAGAGCCACGACTAATGTGCCGCGAGCGACAGTACTCGTATTAACAAGGCAAATACACCACGGTCCATGCAAATCGACGCCGCAATCGTAGATCCCAGCCTAGAGGCCCCTTCTCTAGGCCTGCATTTTGAGAAAGACAACACCCAGAGCCAATGAGTGGGTAAATAAGACAAATGATAAAAGGCAGCAACAGTCAAACATCGCTGACTGTTTCAACAGCAACAGCAACAACAACAACATCAGCAAGAACAACAAGCACAAGCACAACAACGACAACAACAATAAGTAAAAATGTTGCAGTCGGGTGTAAACGACTGCGTTATACTTGTTCACAGCCCAATAATATTATTTAAAAAATCTATCCGCTAAATTTATTAGAAAAACTTTTTTTTTATATTTTGTTCCTGAGGGGCCCATGGACTTTCAAGCTCAACTGTCAAGTATAGTTTTTAATCCATTTTTTAACGGTTTGAAGATGAATATACTCTGAGATTTGCGTAAGTCAGATATTTATATAATGTCACATTTTAAATAGGCTAAAAACACAGCAAAAATTTACAAATTTACAGTGCTCTATCTGCAAAAACTTGCTGATTTTAGAGTTAAGACTTTGGCAGTATAAGTAGTTATTTCTCGGTTAGCCCAACCCTCCACCGGGCGTGTCAATATAAATGTTAAGACTTTGTCTACAGTGGGATAAGTACCAGCATATATACCAAGTTTAAGATCTCTAGACGCAAACGGGGCACAATAACCAATATACTCCTCTTCCGCTTGCTAAGGGGTATAACAACAGTTGTCGTTGTCGCTATTTGAATAGGTATTTGCCATTGCCAGCCAATGACTCGGAACAACGCGCACACACGCACACACGCCGAGAATTGGAATGATTATCACATACCCAGAGATCCCCCCGACACCCCTTGTGGGACTAAAGCGGCCATTGATTTCTATTTGTTGAACACAGATGCGAGTTGAGTCGAGTAGAGCTGCCGATGCTGCTGTCGCACAGACACACACACCAGACGCACACTCGCACATGCATATTCACATAGTTAGAGACGATCATCAGATGCGACGCAGCCGTTTTCGCTGCTGTTTCGACTGTTTCGACTATTTGCCAAGTCTGGAGTGCGATCTCTTGGCTGGTTTCCGCCGTTGCGCTTCGAAAGCCAGTAATCCGTTAAATGTGAGCAAATAGGTAAACAGTGTCGGATGTCATAATGGAATCTTAAAATGCCGCAGACCAAACGATCGATTGGTTGTCCCCCAACATTTCAGATGGCGGCTGTACAAATATTTGAAGCGATGCGAGAGCTAAAAGCGAACTCACTTAGTATTTGGTATTATATTCAACATAACGCGCTGATTGGTTGTTTAGGCCGCATTCTGTTATATCTATAACTAGTAATACGGGCATGAACTATTGCATTGAACAATGCAATCCATAAATGGATGAACATTAGACAGCGACAACAGCTATAACAATTGCCTTAAAAGCAATCAAAAGTCGCGCACTCTTTCCAAAAGGCAAACGGATGAGTCTTTCCATTTTTCCTATACTCTATATGGGTATGATGTTTTTGTGCAAATGTATGTAACAGGCAGAAGCAAGCATCAATGACCCTATTAAAAAAGAATATCAGACGTCGACCTGAGTCGATCACGGAGACCACAAAAGCTTCAAACTTTATATTTGAAATACAGAACAATTTAATTATTTTTCCATATATCCTTTCATTCTTAAGATATGTGTTCTTAGAGAAGACTCGAGGATTATAAGACCTTATTTACCAAAGAATGGTTGGAGGAAGTAGAAGCACAGTCGCTGCAGAAAGCAAGGATGTTCGATTGGAATGGCAGGTTTTTGCTTTTTTCAGAGTATCTCCTAGTCATGCACTCCCGTGTAGAGCACAATAGCTAGTTTTTTTTTTTGCAGAGATGAATTGCAATTGCCATTGGGCCATGTTCGGGAGTGGGCTAAAAGGTAAGAGCTCTAACAAACAGGACAAATATTTAGACGGAGTTGTGCGACGCCTGGCCAAGCCAAAGACATGCTGAGATGAATATATATGCACATACATATTGTACATAGCGTACGCATGTATGTAGGCTGGCATGTATTTGCACTGTAAGTGGATTATCGCACATGTGGCAGCCACTTTTTGCGTGCGAACGGGTACGGGTAAGGCGCAAGTCGCAAGCGGCAAGTGGCAATTGGCAACTGGGAACTGGCAACAGGCGACTGCGCCAGCTCCGATGACGACGACGACGACGTTTTAGCTATCGCTATCGGCGG